AATGAGAAAAATGAGATTATGAGATATAAAGCAGGGCTTATCGCACAAGGTTTTCTCTAAAGATCTAGTATTGAAAATGAAAGATATTCTCTATGGTGGGTGCAATTACAATTCTATATTAACTAGTTTAGCAATATATGAGAAGATTGAATGCGTCTAATGAATATAGTTACAACCTATTTATATGGCTCATTTGATATTGATATGAAAATTCTTGAGGAATTTAAGTTGCCTGAAGCACAAAATTTGAATTCTCGAAAAATTTATTCGATCAAATTAAATAAATATAAATATGGATTAAAGCAATCCAGACATATGTGGTATAATCACCTTAGTGCATATTTGTTGAAAGAAGGCTATAGAAATAATCCTATATGCTCATGAATGTTATAAAAGGGTTTAGACATTAATTTATTATAATTGTTATCTATGTTGGTGACTTGAACATTATTGAAACTCTTGAAGAGTTGTCAAAAGCCGTGGATTACTTAAAGAGAGAATTTGAGATGCAAGACCTTGAAAAATAAAGTTTTATTTTGGGTCTTTAGATTGATCATTTGACAAATAGAATGTTTATCCATCAATCAAATTATATAGCAAATGTGCTAAAACGATTTTATATGGACAAAGCATATCCATTAAGTTCACCAATGATTGTAAGGTCACTATATGTGACAAAAAGGACCATTTTCAACCTCGTGAGGATGATGAAGAACTTTTTGGTCTTGAAGTACCATATCTTATTAGAATTGGAGCACTAATGTATCTTGCTAGCAATACATGACTTGATATATCATTTTTGTGAATTTATTAGCAAGATATAGTTCTTTTCTAACTCGAAGACATTGAAATTAAATTAAACATATACTTCGATATCTCTAAGGAATAATGGATATGGAATTACATTATTCAAATGCATCAAAATAAATTTTAATTAGTTATGCAGATGTAGAATATTCATCTGATCCATACAATACTCGATCTTAGACAAGTTACTTGTTCACATATGGAGAAATTTTAGCAACTTGTAAGCAAATCGTGAATGTGTCTGGTTAAGATCTGTAACTCAATATATTCAAAAAAATGTGTGGCTTGTCAACTAAAAAGGAAATTTCAACAATGTTATATGAGGATAATATTGCTTGCATAGCATAGCTAAAAGAAAGATATATTAAAGGCGATCAAACAAAACACATAGTTCGCCAAAATCCTTCTTCACTCATGATTTCCAAGAAAAAGGTGAAATAAGTGTTCAACAAATTCAGCCAAGTGACAATCTAGTAGATTTGTTCACTAAAGCCCTTTTTACTACAACATTTGAAAAGTTGAAATGCATCATTTTAAATATCTCTATAAAACAGTTATCAAAAGGGGTAAAATACGTATTGTACTCTTTTTTCCTTCGTCAAGTTTTTTGTACTGGGTTTTTCTTGATAAGGTTTTTAATGAAGCAATATTTCATAAGTGTATTATTGAAAAGATTATGCACTCTTTTTCCTTCACTTGGATTTTTTTTCCATGGGGTTTTTTCCTTATAAGGTTTTAATGAGGCATATTCTTAATATAATGGATATTTAAAGGGGAGTGTTATGAATATTTTATGAATATTCATTCATGTTATCTATATCTAGATTTGATGTAAATCATATTATATTAAGATATAATCCATCTAATCTCTAAGTGTTATCTTCATCTTGTAAATGGATTATTTGCCTATAAATAGGCCCCTTTAGTTCATTTGAATATATACTTCAATAAGATTTCTTCTCTCCCCCTAAATACTTTCTTTCTTTCTAAATACTTTCTCTTATAGTTATTCTTTTAGATTTATTTTATAATAGATATGTTTTTTATTTTATCCATTTAAAAAAATAAAAAATTATTGATTATCATTAATTGAATAATTGTTGCGATGTGGGGTAATTAAATTTTAAAACTTCACAAAAAAGTTTATAAGGTTGTTATATGTCCATTGATTATAATTAAAGAAAATTTTTGAATTTAAATTTATAATTAAAGATATTAAAAAATTAATGAAACTATTACTAAATATGAATGCATGTCAATTACATAAACTCACTTATAGAATTTAAAAGAATCTAACAACGATGCATAATGTAGAGTAACAAAATCCATGCATAAATTAATTATTGCAGATCACTTTTAAATTAGGTCATTTCACTGTTAAGATTTGTACTGTGATCTTGGATTCTTATTTATGTCCTTTTTAATAAGAAAATATATATTTCATTAAATGTTGCATTAATAAAAAAAATGAATATTTTTAAAGATATTTAGACGGAGAGCTCTACATTTTGAAGACATATCCACCCCCCACAGGAACATTGAAAAGGTTTTTCCATAAGATTTTAGTTAAAGTTCAAAAGCATTTGGAGGATAATCCTCGCGCAGAGCCACTCTTTCACCATCTGCAGCTACTCAATAACCAACTTCCCCTGCAATGGTCTCAGTCTCTGCCTCCGTCTCCTCCTTATGGGGCTTTGTATTATGACTTTCTTTCCCTTGCATTCATATATCATAATGTAAGCCAATTTCCCACTCACATCTGCATTTGCTCTTTCCCAGAGTTTTCTGCTGCTGCCTACTTCTTCGATAACAGCTAGTACCATTTTTGCTTCTAAGGTCAGTGCCCATTTCTTTTCCTTGTTATTACCCTTGGTTTTTGATCTCTTATAGCTTCGAGTATCCCTGGACTTTGCCTTTCGGTTTTTTATTTATTTTTTACCTTGAAATTTTCTTCAATGTCCGTTGCCGGCTTATCTTCACGGACAGCAATTACATGATTTGACATTAGTTGAACTCCTCTGTCTGTCTGAAAGATAATTGAAGTTTGCGAATGATTTGTATAATATCGGGATAATGTTAGAAATTTAGGCTTACAATTTACAAACTAGTGAAAGGGATAAGGTTTTGACTTTGGTAGTGTTTCTCTCCCGTCGACTTCTTACATCAAATTTATTGCTAGAAAATAACCTTCAGTTTCAACAGCTTTTGTTATGATGGGATTAAGAAGTCTACGCTTAGACATGTTGACTTTGGACATTTGGAACTGATTGCCTAGTTGTGGTACTCCAAGCTATGTATCTCAGTCATGTGCCCTAGTTTTAGGCTGGAAATTATATGAATTTACGTATTGTTTCAGGCTTAATTCGGTGTCCGCATGTTTGGTTCGAGATAGGGGAAGAACATCAGTGAAGTTGGTTTTGGTTAAGTTTAGGAGCTGCAGATTGTAATTTTCATGGTCAGTTTGTGAGTTTGCTTATTAAAACAGATGAATATAATTTCCCTCACTCTCCAAACCGAAAAGAAGATGCATAACAGATTAAAAAATGAAAGGGGGAAAAATATGTGCCAAATGTCTTGTGTAAAAACAAATAAAATTTTGGAGATTTCAATCATTCTAGTTTGTCTGTCAAGGACCTAAACATTGACAATGTGCATCTGCTTATTCTTAAAATTCTTGTAGGAAAGAAGCATCGTAGCGGCGGGAAAGAAGAAAGATAAAGAGACCATAGAAACTGCCAAGTTAGTCGCCAGAGACAAAATTCCAAATCCAAACTCTGAGATTGTGCAGCCAAATAGCCTGCCTCCATTGGTTAGTGCCTTGAAAACTTCAGCTGAGCAAAATGCTGCTAGTTTTCATTTTCCGGGGCATAACAGGGGACGGGCGGCACCATCATCCTTAGTTGAGCTTATTGGTTTAAAACCATTCCTTCATGATTTACCTGAGCTTCCGGAGCTTGACAACCTATTTTCTCCAGAGGGGCCCATTTTAGAGGCACAAAAACAAGCAGCCAAACTGTTTGGATCATCAGAGACATGGTTTCTTGTTGGAGGTACCACCTGTGGAATCCATGCAGCAATAATGGCAACTTGCTCCCCAGGGGAATATTTGATTCTACCTCGGAGTTCTCATATATCAGCCATTTCTGCCATGGTATTATCTGGTGCCATACCCAAATACATTATCCCTGAGTATGATTGCCATTGGGACATTGCTGGTGGTGTTACTTTATCAGAGGTAAGTCTCCAATAAAAATAATTCTGTTGAAATGTTTTTAATATTTTTATTTTTTTTCCTTCCTCAGCAATATATTCCAATATGACTTAACATAGATGTTTTTACAGGTAGAGAAAGCAATCAGGGAATTGCAGATGGAAGGTCAAAAAATAGGTGCAGTTTTCGTCACTTCCCCTACTTACCATGGTATCTGTAGCAATGTGACAGACATTTCGAAGCTGTGTCATTCGTATGGAATCCCTGTGATTGTTGATGAGGCTCATGGAGCACACTTAGGATTTCATCACAAGCTACCCAGTTCAGCCCTCCAGCAGGGAGCTGATCTGGCTGTGCAATCTACTCACAAGGTCCTCTCCTCTCTCACACAGTCATCAATGTTACATATGTCTGGGAATATTGTAGACAGAGAAAGAATCTGTAGATGCCTTCAAACTCTTCAAAGCACTAGTCCTAGTTATCTGCTTTTGGCATCACTAGATGCAGCTAGAGCTCAACTAAGTGAAAATCCAGAAACTATTTTCAATAATGCAATAGATTTGGCATTTGAAACTAAAAACCTTATCCGAAATATTCCAGGTATTTCAGTGCTTGGCACACCAGGAATTTCTAGCTTTCCTCTGATTGATCCATTGCGTCTCACATTTGGGTTTTGGCAGCTTGGTTTATCTGGTTTTGAAGCAGATGAAATGTTATATAGGGATCATGGGGTCATCTCTGAACTTGTTGGGACTCGATCTATTTCTTTTTCAATTAGCCTTGGAACTTGTAGAGACCATATTCAGAGGCTTGCATCTGGAATAAAGAGAATATCTGCAGCATCCTTGTCTCTTCAAAAGATAAAAGAGAAAGTAGAACATTGTGGTTCATCACCCTTTACTGATATTACTATGTCTCTTAATCCAAGAGAATCCTTCTTTGCAAGTAAAAGGAAAGTGGCAATTGGAGAGAGTCTTGGGAGAATTTGTGGAGAGCTCATATGTCCATATCCACCAGGTATTCCTGTAATGGTCCCTGGTGAGATCATTACAAAGAGAGCTTTGGATTATCTGCTGCAAGTTAGAAACAAAGGTGCAATTATTAGTGGAGCCTCTGATCCTTTACTCTCTTCAATTGTCATCTGTGATATATGAATTACTTTATCTCAAAGTGGCAAGTGATGACGTGCTCAACAGGGATGGAGTTGCAAAAAATTTTTGCATGAGTAGAAAGGTTATAAAACTGTTACAAATATCAGTAAGTCAAGGGATAAACCTGTTGGATTGAGTGGGGGTTTTTTCTATCAATATTTTGGGATAAAATTAAAGTGATATAGTGGATGTGGAGCTACTTCATCCTGTGATGGTGGCAGATCTTATAGACAGACAAAGTGTGCTGGAGGAGGGATTTACTAGCCCAAATATTTACTGAGGATGCGATTATCATCGAGAGTACACCACTCAGCAAGAAGTGGTTGCCTGATGAACTACTTTGAACTTGTAATAATATTTTTACAGATAATTAGATGAACAATAGCAATGCTATTTGGCAAGCTCCTTGGAACACTAATATGCCATCCAGAATCAATCTTGTTCATGAGAATGAATATTAACAGAAGCTGTTAACGTATGCCACGATGGGGAGGTTTTCATTGGTGTAGGTGGAGTCAACAGGTTTTGGAGGACTCCTTTTTGGTCCTCTAGTTTTAAGTTCCAAGTCACTAGCAATGCTATGGAGCTATGCAAGCAGTTCCTTCGACCAGCTGAATGAGAATAATTCAGCTAAAATCTGGGTTATAGCTTGAACTATCTGGATGAGTAGGAATACATGTCTGCATGAACCTGTTTGTCAGTGACAAGTTGCGTGACAATAGCACTGAAGGTGCTGGAGAGGTATGAACAGGTTTGATTTTAAGCTATGATACAAAATTCAAATTCTGTGAATAGGAGATGGGTTCCAGCAGCTGATCAATGGAAATTGTTTTGAGTGTTGTGTTCTGCGACCATACTGGTGCCATTTTAGCTTGTGTGGTAATACGCAAGTCAGCTATACCAGATCCAGCTTTGGCAGATGTCTTAGGACTTCAACTAGCAAAGGAGTGCTGGTGGAAAGGGATTGTTTGGAAGTAATTCGAGAGATTAAGAATGATGGATTTTTAGAGAGGAGGCGTGCTTATTGAAGGTATGAAGGAATTAGCTTCCCGTTTTTCTAGTTGTAGCTTGTTGCGCATTAGGGGTAGCAAACTGTTTCAGCACAGGTGGTAGCTCGTTCAGAATTGTTGATTTTCTAAACTTGACATATGCAAGCAATTGAGAGATAATTAATTAGGAGAAATTTCATTGTATTGATTAATTGCTCGAATTGAGCTTATATGCACAAAATCTATTCTGGTAATGAAGTTACCAGAAAATAAGAGAAGTGAAGAACAAAACAAAATTATATAAAATCCCTCCATTAACTAACTTAACTAAAGCATATATGCGTCAGCCTAACTTTCTACATCAGCAGGGTCATATCATCAGTTGCAACACCTTAGAGGCACGTGCCCTGCATCTTTCATTTGCTTCTAACAATGCCCTTCAAGATGAGTATGGATATTAGGAATGCTTATCTTGTTAAGGAGTGATTTGAATTGTTCTGGTAGAAAGAGCCTAGGTAAAGAGAATTCCTATCTGCATAGGAGTATGCATATGGCTTGGTGAAATGAATCTTGCTAGCACCTTATCTCTAACAAAATGACAATGAACCCCTATATGTTTAGTTCTTTAATGGGATACAAGATTTTTAAAGATGTGAATTGCAAACTGGTTATCACAGTAAAGTTTGACAGCATTTGTATTATTAATTCCAAGGTCCTTTAACAAAAATAAAATCTACATAATTTCACAACATGTGGCAATTGTTGCTCTATATTCTGCCTCAGTGAAGCTTCTAGCTACACATATTGCTTCTTAGATTTCCAACTAATGAGAGTCACCAAGAAAAATCCCAAAACAGTCATAAACTTCCTTGAATCATGACAACTTGCCTTATCACTATTTGTATAAGCTTGTAAAAGCATATTAGATTGAGAGGACATAAAGACTCCTCATCCTAGTGCACCTTTTATGTATCTCAATACCCTATGAGCAACTTGCATTTGAGAGTTAATAGGTTTATCTATAAATTGAGATAAAACTTGAACTGTATAGGAGATGATCGACCTTGTGAATGTAAGATAAAGAAGTTTACCAATCAATTATCTATTAAGCATTGGCGTCTTTCAACTGATAGTCACCATCCTCCTTTGACAGCTTGTGATAATAGTTAATAAGGGTTGAGATAAGTTTAGATCCAAGAAAACCATACTTAGTAAGCAAGTCTAGAGTATATTTTCTTTGATGAATTGAAATTCTTTTATGTGTTCTAGCTATCTCCAATCCTTAGAACTATAGAAGGATACCAAGTCCTTAAGCATGAAGTTGGATATAAAAAATCCTTAACTGCATTAGAGGCCTTAATAGAAGAACTTGCCAAATTATATCATCCATATAAACCAAAATGGTAACTAATCACCTTATTTTTTTAATCTTAATAAAAAGGGAATAATCTAACTTTGACTGAGCGACACCAAATTCAAGAAGTGGCCCACTAAACTTACAATTCAACTACCTTTGTGGTATATTTGAGTCCACATAGAGATTTACGAAGTTTGCAAACAAGATATGGTTATCCATCACACTCCCCCTTAACAACATAATTGTCACGATCCAAACTCAAGCAATAACTTGCACAAAGGCCTAATAGGTAAGGTCCACTAAGTCCAAGCAAGCCTCGTATTCATACACCATCTGTACACGCTTTTATAAGGTATGTTCAATCCATACATAAATACATATCTTTTTATATATATATTTTTATGTACAAAAATGTTAATATATTGCACAACCAATTGCTAATATCATCCACAATATATGCATATATGTACATGTCATTACCATACAATTATAGAAGTGTGCCAACTTATGGCTACATCACTATGTCCTAACATCTCATAAGTACAAAATAAATACAAGGCTAGACAACAAAGTCGACACTGAGGCTATGTGATGCTACCAAATGTCTTTAGCATAAACCTATCAAAAAAGGTTAATTGAAGCCTCTCCAAGTCTTAGTCTTCAAGTATCTATTGATCTGAAAACCAAAAACATGAATTTTGAAAGGGTGAATACATAACTCATTGAGTGAACATAGAAGGGAACAAGCATAAAGATGAAGGAATTTATAAAATCATGCCTTTATTTTAAACTATGCACATTTAACTTTAAAACCAAATCCAAGAGGAAAACATGCAATTTCTCATACCATAACCATTTAAGTGGATTCGAATAATTGTAAATTAGTTGGGGGTTTAATTCAAGTTAAAAAACTATTTACATTTGGAAAACAAGTCAAAATCACATTATTTTGTAAAAAACATGCTATTAGTATTGATACCTTTTCAATAGGTATCGATATTTGTAACACAGGCTACGCCCTTACAGCCATTATGGTTGAAAAGTATTGATACTCTTGGCTTGGGGTATCGATACATTTTGTCTAAAGAGCTTTTATCTTCGAAGTATCGATACTTCTATCGTGGGTATCGATACCTCTTAAACAGAGCATCCTTATAACCCCTTCTTCTTTGAAGGTATTGCCATCTCCTTCATAGGTATCAATACCTCTTTCAAGATTTCCAACTTTTTTTGCAAACATCATTTCCAAATTCCTTGGTAACGGCGCCAAAAATTTGTTAGTTAAAATTCTACTACGCAAGTGTTTGTATCAAATAAAGAGTATATAAGTAAGCAGAGTATCGATCCTATAGAGAATTGATTTACAATTTTACTAAGTACTAAAATTATAAC